CTAAGGCGGGATCAGTTAGATTTTTTCCTGCTTTAATGTCACACACTTTTATCCTAAAAAAATATTGTATTTTATAAAACGACAATTTTTTCGTGATAGTGATTCGCACAGTGCTGGTATACCAGTGAGACTGGCGCCAGCCACTGGATACGTGCAAATCAGCCTAAATTTTAAGTTGTGTTAATGTGCATTTATCTTTTTCTTATGGAATTTTTTTAATAAAATGGCAGAAATTACGAGAATTTCTGCCATCTCGTCGTAATTTCCAAGCCAACCATGACAGCATTTTTTCTCCATCGTATGATACTTCTGCAGAATGTGCATACAATATAAAATTGAAGCAACTTTAACTTCCTAAACCAATCAAAATTAAGCGTGCTAAACTGAAAACGGTGCATATGGGTATTAACAATTTGTAGAAGGAAGTCAAGTCATTAATTTGTAGGGTGGTATTCGTTTTCAAAGGGCCATTTTTTATGTTTAAACAGGGGCCTAAAAATGCTGACGTCACTTAGGGCCATTTAACGAGTTAAGTAACAGAGGGCGTCACTAAAGCTTAATATTCCAGCGTTGCCGTAATTTTACTTTGGAGGTTAAATTCACGATGGTTTTTTTCTTATTAAATTCGTTAAATTATTGGGAATTATGTTATATAAAGTTTGTATTTTTAATTATGAATTACGATATTAATCTTATAAAAAATAATTCTTAAATAATAGTTTCAACCCTAATCTTATAAAAAGTACCCAATCGAAATTAAAAAAAATTTGGGTACCTACTTACCTATCGTATCTATTTCGACACTGTAAGAATATCTACAAAATAAGATTTTTTTGCACTTTTTAACACTGCTGTATTAATCCAACGGAGACTAAAAAACTTTTTTTGCTTCCGACGATGCGACGGGAAGATACTTCCCGAAACGTTAAGCATATTTTCGTCCGTTAGGGAAACTTGTTTATCAGTAAACCACTGCTGACAATTAGTCTCCGTTGGATTAACGCAGCAGTGTTTACAAAAAAATAACTCTTTTATTTTGTAGATTTTCTTGCAGTGGCGAAATACCCATAGGACCAGGGTTGGCAAATATCATGATATTTATATAAATATCAAATATCGGATATATATCCGATATATATATCAAGCTTTGATATTTATTTTTGTTTTTATTTTTTATGTAAAACTGCGTTTAGTATCAAGTAAAATCAAGAGCTCAAGCAAATATTTTTATTTCAACTTAATTATTGTTGCTTTGTACAGAATAGGAACAGCATTAAAACAAAAATATATAAAAGATATACAGAAATTCTAAAAAAATAAACAGAACTTCTAAAAAATAAACAGGAATTCTAAAAAATAAACAGAAATTCTAAAAAATAATCGAAAATTCTAAGAAATAAACAAATATTCTAAAACTAACAACAAACAAATTTATATGTGATTTATTAATTTTATTATTGGTAAATCGTTAAGTCAGACGTCAGAATCAATAATTGATACTGTTTCTGGCAAAGTTTTTGGTACATTTGAATTGTCCCAGATCCAATCAATATTATCTTTTTTTTTGTTGATTGTTGTATTTAAATAAAAAGGTTAATTTTCCAGCTTTTCCGTTCCCAAGCCTATTACGCAGTTTCGAGTTTATGTAATTCGAGAATCGCATAAAGTAATAAAAATACGTTGTGCCGTAAACATGTTGACTTTTTTAACGTAGAAATTTAAGAAAAGAGTTGAGTTTTATTTTTTTATAAATATCATGATATACAGGGTGATCCGAACTGTATTCCGGAAACTTCGGCAGCATATTTTACAGATAAAAATAAGTAACAAAGTTCGTATAAATGTATGTCCTAAAATGATTAGTTTCGGAGATACAGGGTGTAGAAATTTCATTTTTATTTCGATTTTTTTCAAATAATTTCTGAAGTAATGTCAATATTTGAATGAAAGTTGGTGTCTGGGAGAGAAATTTGATTTTCATGTCAATGTGACTCCTACTTGTAGAGGGCGCCACCTACATATTCTTTAACTGGTTTGAAGAGTAATAACTTTTCATTCATTCCTGTATAAAACTACTGAGTAAAAAAATATACATTTACAACTTTTTTTACGTAAAAAAGGTATCTTGGTAAAAATCGCGGGTAACGGTTCTCGAGATATTTGAAATTGAAATTATCAATACCTGTCATCATTGACAAATTAAACATGTTGACAAAGTAGTTATTAGACTGAAATCTTAAATTTGAAATCTTTTTATGCCAAAAGTTCAACAGAAACTGTTTAATCATCATTTTTCAAAAATTTATGATTAATTTAAAAAAATAAAAATTTATTATTTCAGTCAAATAACTCTATTCAAAACGTGTGCTTATTTTTTGTCAATAATGACATGTATTGACTATTTCCATTTTAAATATCTTGAGAACGGTTGCTCGTAGCAATTTTTACCAAGAGACATTTTTTACGTAAAAAGTTATGGAAATGTATATTGTTTTAGTCGGTTATACAGGTACTGTCGAAAAGTTATTACTCTTCAAAACAGTCAAAACGCATGTAGGTGGCGCCCCCTACAAATAAGTTTTATTTTGACATCAAAATAAAATTTCTCGTGTCACAAAACTCCCAGACACCAATTTTCATCCAAATATTGACGTTACTTCAGAAATTATTTAGAAAAAATCGAAATAAAAATGAAACTTCTACACCCTGTATCTCCGAAACTAAGTATTTTAGGACATACATTTATACGAACTTTTTTACTTTTTTTCATCTGCAGAATATGCTGCCGCAGTTTCCGGAATACAGTTCGGACCACCCTGTATATCAAGGTATAAATATAATATATATCAATGATATATATCCGATATATATCATTGATATATATCATGCCAACCCTGCATAGGACTTTTTTGAAGAAATGAATCCGCCACAGGGGTATAGGTATAAACATTTTTTATGAATCTTATATAAATATTTTCTCCCGTTAAAAATATAAATTTAAATTGTAATATTGGGTTATTCTCTACCTAACAGGGCACTAAACACAGTAATCAGTGCCAACATTTATTGGCACTTTGTACCACACATGCTCATCACTTGCTGTCCTCCTTTCACGCAGTTGAGCTGCTCTGAACTGTTCAAGAACGCGATACTCTCACTCCATCCAATTGAGTCATAAAGTTCCAGAACTGTTCCGCGCCATATGGAGGCACCAGGCTATCGCGCACTGCTCCTTTCAGAACAGTTCTCGAGTAGCCCCAGGGCGTAAAGCCCGGAACTCCAAGTTCGCGAATGGAGGAACAGCAACTGTGTGTGGTACTTTCCAGAAGTGACGTCAGGGGTGCCATTACTGAATTTGAAATGTTAGATTTTGATTTCTTTTTGAAAATTGGGAAAAAATCCGGTAAAAAAAATTGTATTATTTATTCAAAATAATCAAAATATGCTAAAACACCGAATTAAGCCATAAGAGTGTCTGTGTGACATTAGTATATCTTTTGAATAGATATGTTGTGTTTACATACAATTCATATATTGTATCAGTTTATAATTTATGAAATTATAGTATTTAAGTAATATATGTTTGTCAAGTTTAGAAATGATTAGAATTATTACGCCACTTCTCTCGAAATCTAATTTATGTACAGGGTGTCTCATTTTTGTATGTTTTACATTTTTTCCCGCTTATAAGTAGAGATACAAAGATGCGGTTTCCACATTACTGTGCTACTTTTTTATGAATGGAATATAAGGGCGAATTTGAAATTGTTGCATTTTTCGACTCCCCTCGTATCTCGGTTATTTTATAACTTATCGAAAAGATGAAAACTGGGTCCTTTAGAGTTTTTCAGGTATAATTCAGTAGCAGAACTAGTTTTTCGTTGGCAGCTGTCATTTTTGATATATGACTCAAACTTATGTTTTTTTAAATGAGATACCCTCTATATATTATTATTTTATTTTTATTTTCTTGTTATGAGCTTTCTATAAATATAATATACTCTATACTTACTTTCCTAAACAAGGTAAAAAATGCATTATTTAACTTTTTAACATAAGGCGGTCAGTTTAAATTATGTAAACAAAGCAATCAAAAAAAATATTACTATTCCACGCTGGTTTCTATGTGTGAAATTATTGCAGAAGTGCATCTGCATCAAAGATATCAATAATATTGATTGACTATGTATTATCTAAAAACAGCACGAGTTCATTCTTAGTGCCAGTTTATTAAAATAACACAATGAAAAGTAAAATTATCTGATTAAACTAAATTAAACAAATAATAATTATAAACTAGGTTCTGGGTAGTTTTAAACTTGATTTATCTTAAAAAGTTAAATAAAACATTTCTTACCTTATTAATGAGTTGTTTGAGTCATATTTCGAAAATGACAGCTCTCAACGAAAAACTAGTTACGCCACTGGATTCTACGTGAAAAACTCTACGGGACACATTTTTCATCTTTTCGATAAGTCATAAGATAACTGAGATATAAAAGGTGTCGAAAAATACAATTTCCAGCATCTTTAGTTTCATCAAAAAGTAGCATAGTTATGTGGAAACCCCTTATAAGCGAGAAACACCTTAAAACACAAGAAAATGGGACAGACTGTACATGAAATATCAGAATTCTAGGGTAGAATTTTGGTAAAAGCTAAATATACATATGTCATATATTTTTCCATGTTAATTTTAAAATGTAAAAATGTTTTATAACAATGTATATTTTCATGTTTGTGTGTTTGAAAGAAAACATACCTTTATTCAAAATTCAGTTTGCGGTCTATTCATGAAAACGCTGGATTCATACGACACTAATTTTGTATAGGATATACAAATATTTTGAATAACTTGGGTACTTTTTACTATTTTAGAATATCTAAAGTATGCCTGACTTATGTAAATATATACCTTTCAATTTTCCAAAAAGGATGTATTTTATAAAATAGCTTAATAGCGAACTTATTTTTAAAGTTCATAAAAAAATAAATATGTATTATAGTTCCATGTTGCTTTATTTGAAATTTCTTTTTTACAATCGAAATATTTTATTACGATTCATACTTTTCTTAGTGACTTGAACTTCGTTCAGAACTTCAAAATTAGTGGTTTCAAATAGCATAGATGTTTGTTCCTCTACTTTCAATATAACCTTTCAGAACGTCAAAATTAGTGGCTATTGCGCATGTACGAGTAATGTCATTCTGCCCTTTGATTATCATCTGTCGAAAGAAATTGTGGTTAGAAATAAAAAGTGTATTGATTTATAACTGACTATCGCAAGCTGCTGCTAGGATATTCTATTTTAATTACGATTTTTTCTTTAACATTGGAAATGATAATAACCTCATAAGTACAAAGCATTATTGAATTCACTAATTTATGCCACTAATTTTTAGGTTCCGAATGAAGCACAACACAAAAGTACTTTTATTCCTAAAAATTGAAGTGCTGAATTTTTGCTACTTTATTTTTTTCTGTCTTTATCCTTATTGGCTGCTAAAACAGCTCCTGGTGCTGGGTAAGGTCTCTGTTGGAACAGCACGCCAGATGCTGTGTTATCTGCTCGGATTTTGTTAGTTTCAAGGCCGTCACTCCAAGTACCTTGAGGTACATCAGAGTATGCTGCGGGATCCATGGGATCTAACTGATCATCTTTCTTCTGTCTTTTTTCTTTGTCCCGTCGGTGCCGATCATCTCTGTCCCTTTTCCTTCTATCCTCTCTATTAATTAAAAATAACAATAATATATACAATTTGTATTAAAAAGGTGGAGATTTACTTGAGCCATGTGCTGTTATGTTATGTAATGTTGTTCGCTGATTATGACAATTTTCATAGTGATTTACAGCTAGATGTAAACACAAGACTTCACTTGCCAATAGGATTTGTAAAAACTGTATATAGTACCATATGATTGAAAAAATATATATAAAAGTTTATAAGAATATAAATCTGTTTAGTCATTTTAATGAAAAGTTGGTAATTTATAACACCAAATCAATACTAAATATTACAGTAACTGAAAAACAGTAATAATAGTGCAAGACTATGTTAACTTAAAAATAATAAGAAATTCATATTTATTTGGTAAATTTTCGAAATAATAGCCATTTTCAAAAAATGAACCCACTACAGACAGATATAAGTATACATAATCTACAATACCTTTCTTTGTCCCTATCTCTATCCCTTCGATCACCGTACTTGGATCTATGGTTTCTATCATCCTCATCACTCTCTCTGTCTTTCTCCTTATCACTAATTCTATCATTTTCCTTATCCTTTTTAGCAGTATCTTTGTCTCTTAATTTCTCCTCCTTTTCTGCGAGTATTCGTCTCTCTCTTAGCTTAGCCGCACTTCTAGTTAATAAAGCTTTTGGATGTTTAGGAGGTAACCACGATACCATATCTGTTTCCATATTCCAATAATAATAACGCCCCCTAAAATAAAAGAAATGATTAAATAAAGAATAATGTAATCAAGCAATAAATTTGCATACACTCCTTTATCAAAGACTTCTGTCCAATTATTTGGCAAAGGAAACTTTGCTAGAAGCTTTTGCATATTACGCATGTATTTTGGTTCAGGAGTCAAGACCCCCTTCCAATGTGTTTCGCACCAACGAGTACACTCATGAAAAATATTATTTTTATTAGGACAAGTGGATAGCCCTTTATAGTCGATCTTTTTCAATGGTTCCGACGGTTTATGTTTGGCTAAAAAAAAATTATTCAGCTACTTATACTTTAACTACTTAAATATAATTACGTGTTATTATCCCCCTTTTAGATAATTTGGCTGCCAAAGCTGGAGGTAGAGGCATTTTTTACTAATAGTTTCAATTTAAAGTTATTCTAATAAAACCAGATAAAACTTTTAAACTTTTGTATGTTTACTTTTCTCTACCGTTGTTTTAAAAACTGACAGGAAATTGAGGTTGGGTTGGTATGAAAAACTGTTCTTCATGATAGATTTAAAGTTCATAATCCAAAGTCATATATAAAAAGAAACATATATTTAAGTATTCTCTATTTTGTATATATGATCCAATATCATATATAATCAGGGTTGGGTTATAACGCGTGTATTTTTTTCGTTGTGATGTAAAATATATGTAAAAGCTCTTTCCTTGTCTAAGTGTAAAAGACATTAGCGATTGTTTGAGCCCTTTGAATTTTGAGCCTAAATATTCATTTCTACACAAAATACAAATTTAAAAAAAACGAATAAAAATATTTCGGTAAAAAGGATATAACTGGGGTATAATGTATAATGGGTATAATGGCTGACCTTGAGAGGTCTATTTGCTGCACTTATGGTGGGTTCATACAGCCAAATAAAATAAAATAAGAATAAAATAAAATAAGAAATAAGGAATTCTTATTTGTGTGCGTCTTGGTGTGCGTTCATACAGTCAAATAAAATAAAATAAGAAATATATATTTGCTCATGCGCAGTACGATGAGGCTGGATAAAAGTTAACTTTTACGATTGTTTATAGTAATTTTACTATTTATAGTATATTTATTTATTCGTTGCCTACTATATTATACATTTTACTTATGTGAAATTATAAAATAAATTAAATCCAAACTGAAAATATTTGTAGGTTAGAATTAAGCGTGCGCAAAGCCGTTTTCACATAAAATAAAACAAGAAGTTAAAAGATAAAGACTTCTTATTTTATTTGTTATTTTATTTGGCTGTATGAACGCATGTACGGTATCCCATATAACCAACTTTCTTATTTTACTTTATTTTATTCTTATTTTATTTTATTTGGCTGTATGAACCCACCATTACTCATAGATACTACGCATGCGCACCTCGTTGCCACTGTAGGTCTTCCTGTTTCTAAAGTTTTTGTTTTTTTTTTAAATCTACAAGTATTATATCACAAAAATTACTTTTAGCTCTGCTTTTAGTAATGGATTGTGATTGGACAGTTCAGAATTATGTTTTAGAATTGTCCAAGAATTATAATTTGATTTTTTATACCTGCGTTGCCAAGATATTAGCGAAACTCTGATGCCTGAAACTAATCTAAATAAATACATATTTTTTGTAGTATAGAACGAATTGAACCTTTACAATAATGATAAAAGTAAAATAATACTTTTTTAGGAACAGCGTTTTATATTTTATAGTATACACAAAAAATTAATATTTTTTCTACATCTGCTCAATCTGACAACGTTGATAGTGCGACATTTTCCGTTGTGCACGTTCTTATGTCGCTTTAATAGAAAAAGTTGGAAAAAGTGATTTTTCTGAATACTATTTGAGTGTATTCTGTTCCCTAAGGCCTGTTGTGGGCCTGTTTAACCTCGTGAAAATGTAAGTACCCATTATTTTGCCTCTTTTGTATAGTTTTTTTCATTTCTAATATTTTCAATTAAATATATCGTGATTACAATTACATTTTTATAATTTTCTTTTTCAAAATCGAATGTATGGGAATATAGATACTTTCTATATGATGTCCCTATTGTTACAACCAATTTACATTGTACCCCAAACCTAACCAAAATGCTCCATATATAGAGATATTCGGTATTTTGTGAACCTCTCTTTTGGTAAAATTTATTTCACGCAAATAAGTATCTTCTACGTGGTTGCCATCATTAATCCATTCTACAAACTCTTCCATTAATTGATTGTATATACCGTCGTATGATCGAAAAAAAACGGCGTCCAGTTGGCTGGGAAATGACGATCGATGACATTACCTATATAAAATTAGAAATAAAATGACAGCGATCTTCATTTCATACCCATCGCTGACGCCGTTTTTTTTTTCATTCATACGGTATTAATTACTTCTACATAGACACAAGTTCGTCAACACCTTGTGCCGGGTCCAGACTGTGGTCCAGACCAAGCAGACAAAACAGTGACAAGACAGAAACATTCCTGTTTTACGACAAAGTTGTGACAAATCCAATACATTTCTGCGACATTTTTGACTCATTTTTGTTTTGTTTCAAAATTCGGAGACATTTCAATGTCCCGTCTCGAGTTGGTAAAGATCAAAGTGTCTATGTTTTGTTCGTATATTTTGCGACAAGTTGTCGGCGCAGTGTGGATGGCGTGTGCTGCCAACAGTAGGAGACTAGTGAAATCACACATGGTTAATAAAACTCATTCGCAATAACTAAACTTTTGACTTTTTTGTACTTTTGTCTTTGCGGTGTGCACAATTTGTCTCAAGTTTGTCTAGTCAGAAGTATCCACATTTTTTGTGACAGGTTTGTCTTGTTTTTGTCTCAAAATCGTGTTTATTATTTGTCACCTTGGTCTGGACCCGGCATTGATTTTAATATAGAGTATGTCCCCGGATTGTCTTTACAAGAGGAAAACCTTTTTTATTAAGATTTTGAGAAAAATGCATTCTCATAAAGATGTTGGCTTCTTTTAAAATGATTTTTTTTATTTTTCCGTTTATAATTTTCTAAATTTTCATACTGTTTTAGAGAGAAAAAAAACAAGAAAATGTAGTTGAATTTTTAAAAATCAAAACGCGTTTCTATATGGTTGTATAATTTCGTTTTCATTCTTTGATAGATTATTATCTATGATTATTATTTACAGAATTTTAAATAACGTCATGTATTTTGCTGTTTTAAAATGTTAAAAAAGCACAACCATTATTTAGTTCAATTCTACATGAATTCTACCACGAAAGGGTGATGATAGTTATCGGAAAATTAAAGTCCCTCGGAAAATGTTAAACTTTAACACAGCTTCAACAAAAAATATGGTAATAATCAAAATTAACTATAACCATAGATAAAAGAAAAAAATTATCTATTATTATAACTAATTATATCAAAGAATAAAATCGAAATTATATATTACCATAGCCTTTTAGTTTTACGACTTCAAAAAAAATCAACTACATTTTTATGTTTTTTTTTTAATTTTCTCTAAAACGGCATGGAAATTTGGAGAAGTATAAACATGATTAACCATTTTAGAACGAGCAAAATTTTTTATAAAAAATGAATTTTTCTCAAAATGTCAGTAATAATAAAGTTTTTTTTGAAAGTCACCAAAGTGATTTTAACGCCTAGGCATAAAAGTAAAGCACTTTTACGCCTAAGCATAAAAGTACGAAATAATATTATTAAATTGACATAAAGTATCAAATTCAACGAGCGTAACCATAGTTTCTCGATATACTCGATAATTACATTCAAGGCATGCCTTTTAATTATTTTTATATTATTTGGAACGTTTGAAATTATTTAAAAAATAGCATTGTCTTATTCGGAGCAAAATTTACTTGGTCAAATAACGTACAGCCTCGCCACAAAAAGTGTCATTTTCACTCCTAATAAAACAATATACTATTTTCCTCTCGGAAAGACAACCCTATGGAGTGTAGAGGTAGTAGTTTGGTTTGGTTGTAGTAATCTTATGTACAGGGTGGTTAAAAAAGTGCCTACTTTTTTAAGCACAATCCAGTGGCGTAGTCAGTTTTTGTCTATGCTTGCTCTTTTTATCAGAAATAATGAAAAATATAATTTTATAAATGGAAATCGTAGTTGGCTATGAACTTAAAAAAATACTGGCATTTAACCCTTTCCAATGATATAAAGTTAAGGGTATCTATTTCTACGAATGAGGGAAATATTAAGTTTTTTATCTTTATATCGAGGCGGGCCTTGATTTTGTGTTGACCTATTTTCCTAATTATTTTTAATCACAATTTAATATTCTATATTATTATTTATCTGTATAATTAAAGACTTTTGAAAAGGTAAATTAACATTCTATATTAATATTAGTAATTACAATTGACATCGATACAATAAACAAAGAACAAAACTAAAAAAACTATTTTTTGAGTGACGAATATAGTTTTCTAAAAAAATTATCGGATGTTCAAACTGAGCACCTCCTTGTTGAATACACAATATACATCTTTTGCGCAAAGGGTTACAACGATTTATTAGGCAAACTGGTGTAATGAGTCCAAAAGCTTGCCTAGTAGCCTTCTGTAATTCTTCTCTCGTCTTAGTTCTTCCTTCAAAGTCGAACGGAGTTACATCACAGGACTTAGCTGGCCAAGATATGGGATTCCTTGTTCCAATCCAATTCTCTCTAAATTCTCCATTTAATAGTGCAGTTGTAACCCTGGCTTTTTAATTGTAAATGGTAATACCCTTGTAATACTAATATAGAATGTTGATTTACCTTTTCAAAAGTCTTTAATTATGCAGATAAATAATGATATAGAGTATTAAATTGTGATAAAAAATAATTAGGCAACTATAGGTCAACACAAAATCAAGGCCCGCTTCGATACAAAGATAAAAAACGTAATATTTCTCTCATTTTTAGAAATAAATACACATAACTTTATATCGTTGGAAAGGGTTAAACGCCAGCATTTTTTTAAGTTCATAGCCAGCTATGATTTCCATTTAAAAAATTATATTTTTTATTAAGCAAGTATAGAAAATACTGACTACGCCACTGGATTGTGCTTAAAAAAGTGCCTTAAGAACGTTTTCTACAGAATTTTATTATTCCGAGAAATACAAAAATTATGGGCAATTTTCCAAATGGTAAAAAAAAACAAAAAGACTGCGTATCTCGGTTGGCAGTATAAATATAAATATAAACAGGCGGTTTAGGCCATTAAACTTTTCTCAGAAATGGAGCCCATGACATCTATGTCGGTTTTGCTCTATCTAATCAGGAAATAGGTTTTCTCTGTTAAAACCTTTGAAAACAGACCAATGTCGACCACGCTATACATCTCTACACTCCATAGACAACCCGGGGACATATTGTACTTTTATTATTACCTTATTACCGTATTGATGATAAAATGTAATTATAGTTAATAAATAAAAATGTAATCAATGATAACAAATAAAAATTATATTTTACTACATTACACTACTTCTATCTCAGTTGTAGTTAATTTAAATGAATTGCAGTTTTTCTTAACATGACTTAACTAGAGTATAAAGTAATTCATATAGTTTTCTACATTTGTGTAGGTAATTAAATGAGTAATTTACCTAATTTAAGGGCAGGTATTTCAATCAAGGGCATTATTGTCAATAATCATCTAAAATAGAAGAATTAAATGTCTTATTCTATACATTTGTTTTGACATAAAGTTTGAAATATATTTTTATGTCAAACTTAGTTATTTAATAAAATGGAATCTAAAGAAAAAAAGAATAATCAAATTAGCGCAGATAATTATAGAATTAATTTAAAACAAGTAATGCCTTACATATTAGATGCACCGTATAAAGATATTATTAATGGGGAGGTAAGAAATATTATAGAAATGTTTGTTTGGTTGTTTAGGATTGAATGAAAAAAATTTAAAACGGTCAACAATAAGTAGATAAAACAGCTGTACGGCTTATTATCAAATTTAGTGTTTCATGTAAATTTATTGATATTAATAATGTAAAGTATTGGTACATACAATGGTACATACCAACAAATTATAAGAAATATTTTATAACTATTTCAAAAAGAGTAGACGTAGAGAGTCAGTTTTTCTATTTTTTATCTTTTGTAGTGGACTTATAATTTTTTTCAATTAATTTTAGACGCCATCTATTCCCATGCATTAATTATTTTTATCTCAGAATACTTTTAACAGCGCTTTCAGATGGAGCGGAGCGTCCGCGTGTTTTTTCAATATAGCCGTCGGACGAAATCCTCCGGACGGAGTATACGCGACCCATGTGAAATTGTTCATATAAACTCATGGTAGGTACTTGCTCGAAATCGCGGAGTATCCGCTCCATCTGAAAGCGCTGTAAAGATTACATTTTCCAAAGGCATGAGTGACTTACAGGGTCCGGCAGTAGTACGTCGACCATCTGTAGCTCCTAGAATAAAAAAAAAATTAAAACTTATAGTACGAGAGCTAGCAACGTCGGAAAAACAAGTATTTTAAGACGTCTGGCTCTTTGATATATGTTTTACTATGCTCTCTGGAACAACATGCGGCCCGTCTGGCTGCCGATAACCGTTGCGTTCACTACAGCCACCGAATATCTAGCTTGTGCTACTGCGCATCGGAAGAAGATCCTATATTTTTATTCGTCCTATAAATTCTAGTATTGAATATAAATCGAACATGTCTCCATAGCGCAGTGCGTAGAGTTTCCGACCAGGAACCGAAGATTCAGAGTTCGAATCCGGGTCAGGGCAAAGAGTTTTTTTATTTTATTTTCGTTTATATTCTGATAGTAAAGTATTAAATATTTGTTTTTTTAATCACCAGAATTATTTAATACTTTACTATCAGAATATAAACGAAAATAAAATAAAAAAGTCTTTGTCCTGACCCGGATTCGAACTCTGAATAATCGGTTCCTAGTCGGAAACTCTACGCACTGCGCTATGGAGACATGTTCGATTTATAATCAATACTAGAATTTATAGGACTAATAAAAATATATGATCTTCTTCCGATGTTCATTAGTGAACGCAAAGGGTATCGGCAGCCAGACGGGCCGCATGTTGTTCCAGAGAGCATAGTAAAAGATATATCAAAAAGCCAGACGTGTTAAAATACTTCTCGAAAACGTTGCTAGCTCTTAGACTATTAAGAGTCCATTTCACTAGTCCGAAAAAGTAGCAAAATAAGCGTTCGGCATTAAGAGCCATATGTAATAAACACGCGAATATTTGCGAAACTGTTAAAAAATTGAAAATACTTTAAACACAAAAGTGTTCATATTTAATTCTCCATCTAACAAAAATATAATATACAGGGTGTTCCATTTAAAAAACAAAGACAAACTATTTTATATTTTGTAAATTTTGGCATATAATTTTGAACACCCTGTATAGTCTAAGATTATAGGAAATTAAGTACAAACCAACTATAGTAAATAAATAGTATGGTTTTAAATTCATTACATTTTTTGTATTTTTATTATTTTTTTTAAAAAAAGTATATTTAAAAAAAAATAATATCTTAGGATTATGTAAAGTGATCATAAAGGAAGCCAAAATGCAATAATATACAGGGTGTTTCATTTAAAAAAAAATCATTCCGATGCACCCATACTTTTTTGAGCCACCCTGTAGAGGTTTAAACATTTTTCTGAAATACATACTTTAGGTTTGCAGTTATACAAAATTCCTAAGTTTTTTATTAGTAGAGCTACAGATAGATGCCCGACACTAAACTACCGTATGATCGAAAAACAGCGTCCAGTTGGCTTGGAAATGAACATCGACGACATTCCCCATATAGTTTTACATATAAAATGATAGCGACTTCTCGTAGCCATCGCTCACGCCGTTTTTTTTTTGGATCATATTGTATAAACCGTTTATTATTCTTAAATCACAGTTATAGGAAAAGAAAAAGAATCGTTTTTATAAGCCAAGAGTGAATACAAATATCTCTAAATTTAAAAGTTACTAGGACAGAATTCGCAACCAATACCGTTCCAAAATCTTGTTATTAAAATACCGACAGATCACTAAAAGTTACTAGTTTTCTTATGCTATGGCCAGAGATCAGAGATCTACCTCTATATTTTTGGCTATGGCAAGTAGAGTATAACTAGCTAGAAGGCACACTGTGGGTGCTCTTAGCAATGATAATATAGTTTTTATTAATAAAATATATTATTTTTTCAGATTAAACCGTCATTGGCTTATAAAGAATTACGTTGTACAACAGAAGAGCGATTAGAAAAACTACGAAATCCCCAACGAAAATTTAAATTAGTATCTAAAAGAGACGCGTTCAAGAGAATACCCGAAGCAGTGATATTTCAAAACTTCGACAAAGGCGTTCCTTATGTAGTTCCAATAGAGATTATTAATCAACGTGCGGTAATATATTTTAGGCGAATTCGTATAGTTCCTTATACTGCAACACATGTAAAAACACTTAGCTAATTTATCTAATAATGAAAAATTACAATTCAACTTAAAATAACACAAAACTACAACTACAGTCTGTTCAAGGAGAGAATTCCTGAGAGTAACAGTTGTGTCTGTCATTTTAATTATCAAAGAAATTGTATTTTCTGTCATTTTGGATATCGTTTATCGAAATCTTTCCTGATTTCTTGGACAGAATATAACAGGCATCTCTAAAAAGTGGTTCACAACATTTCGGGGATAGTCAGGGGCGGATACAGGAATTTATTTTAGGGGGGGGCCAAAATGAAAAGCAATGTAGAATATGCTTTTTAGGGTGCCATTTTTAACCCATAAGCATAATATTTTACACAATTTACAGATTTTAGGGGGGGCCCGGGCCCCATGGACCCCCCCTCTGTATCCGCCACTGGGGAGAGTGACACTATCCCCGAAATGTTTTATGGAATATTTCTGGAAATATTTCGTGGAACATTTCACAAAACATTTTTGGAAATAGTACGATAAATACGATTACTACTACGATACTACGATAAAAGTCCATACTTTCCCGGTCGTAATGGCACCCTCGGTATTTTTTTACTTTATTCGATAGAAAATGACACTCTGAATAGAATGACATATCATATGCCAACTTTTGACATATTCGTTCAAAAACAGATTGTATTTTAAATTTCAATGTAGAGTGCCATGGCTGGGTTAAAAATACTAATTTTTAATCAAGGAGCCTTGGAAAAATAGATTTGATCGTCTAATGTTTTTAGTGTCTTGTCCTGGCCGATTAAAAGCTGTCCAAATCGTATTTTTAAACATATCTCAATGTTTTCAAATGGAACGAGGGTGGCTCATTAGCATATTTGGAAAAAGCATTTTTTTACGAATAATTTGATACCACACATTTGGTGTTTCGAGTCAAATTGTCGTTATGAACCGCAAATTACAATTTCAAATAAACCATATGCGAAAATGTCAAAAGTCGACACGTAATATGTCATTCTAATCAAAGTGTCATTTTCTATCGTATAAAGTAAAAAAATACCGAGGGTGCCATTTAAAAATCAAAAGTTGTAGTCAGTTCCGGTGAAATCGGAAGTGAACGAAAACAATTGAATATGTCAATCAATTCTAATTTATGTCATATACTAAAATACCAAATATTGTTATTTTATCTGAATAAATCAATCTGAAAATAAAAAAGTTATAGGGGTGAGCCACTTTTTAAACGCACCCGGTATAGGGGTTACAGGAAGAAATACTTCCTGTTTTACCGGAAATGACTACATCTTTCAAATTTTTACTCTTTTTAAATCCCCCCCCCCAACTTCAAAATCTCAATATGCTTTATTCATCTTTTCGTTGTTGTCAGTTACTAAAATGGATATATTTGTATTTTGGAAGACAAATGACTTATGTTGATTTAACACACAGTGCATTAACTTGCTCAAAATCAAATCAAATCTATTACAAATTTCAGATATTATTACAAATATATTACAATTTTACACTGACTGTATAGAATTTAATAACTGTCTGAGGTTTGTTATTATACACCATCCACGTTTCACTTCATAGGCTCACAAAAAGTGACAAGCATATTTTTATATTAGGGTACTGCTACAAATGAAATTTGATACTTTATTGTTGATACAAATGTAATTTGTTAAAAGGTTATAGTAAACCTAATATTCAGTCTGGGAATATATAACGAATTTAATTAATAACAATTTTTAGCAAAATAAAACACTAAATGACCACAATACACCAAAACACTTTTACTTTTACACTGGACGCGCGTTTTCAGATGATTATAAACTAAAGATTATAAACTTTGAGTTTATAATCATCTGCTGATGATGCTAACATGGTTAGCGAAACGCGCGTCCAGTGTAAAAGTAAAAGTGTTTTGGTGTATTGTGGTGATTTAGTGTTTTATTTTGTTGTGTAACACAAAAGGTTCCAACCCTCAACTGTAATAACAATTTTTATTAATAATTTTAGGTTCCATTGAACATTATGATCCATTTCGAAAATTCGAGACATTTTACAGCAATAATAGAGAATAGCAAGACCAGAATTGCTCCTGGAATGTCTATAATTATAAAAATTACCTTTTTGCCTACTGAGAGATTTCTAGATTATGAGCACAAGATAAGAGTAACGTCTAATTACGAATGTTTTGTAATACCAATATACGGTAATAATAGTAATTATTAAAGTAAATATTTAAGACCTATATTTTGATACCTGCTATTAAAATTTAATGTATTACCTTTTTCATAAGATACAAATTTTTAAAATAAAACTTTCGGAATGATATAAATTGCACAAAAAAAAGTATGGAACTGATATGGAATGGAAGCTTACGTATAGCGTCAGTACAATAAAAATACGGAACGGATATGGAATGGAAATGGAAGGTATAGTGAGAAGCAACCTTTATGCAGCTGAAACACCTCCTAGACTACTGAAATTCCGTCGAGGCTTCTGAAACACTGTAAATGTAGAACAACCAGATGATCCCCTACATCAAGATCCACCAAGGGGAATCCACTTGAAATGGAAAACCTAGAGAACACTTAATAGAATTAGGACCGGTGTCCCTCCAGTAAAAGCCAATCTAGTGAAATGGGGTATAAATCATAATGCGGACACCCAGTGTAAATGCGGCCAAGAACACACCATGGATCATGTTCATCAAATTACCTTTAAGGATAATGGAAATAAAACAGTAGAATCCTGTGAAACTGAGCCATCTTCTAGTAAAAATTCAGATGTCTGACCCAATATTGATTTTTATGATTATGCTGTATTAAAGACTGTATTCCGTTTCTTATATTTTAAGAGATACGATTCTTGAAAAATATCTATCATTATTCTCAGCCAGCGTAAAAAAACTGGATTCTTTGAATCTTGGTTTTTCTGGTTCGTTTGTAAATTGTATGCCATTTTATCTCTTTACTGTGTAAAATATATTTTGAGATTACTCTCTTGTTCTGAGTAGCGTGACCATAATATAAATATAATTAAAATAATTCTCGCGAAGTTTCCGCGGTCGGCTAACCTGGAAAAAGAGTCCACCGACTCTTCGGTGCGTATATCTAATGTTTTCTATTGAATATGAATTAAGAATAAAAGGATAGCTTATGGTAATGCACTCAACCTTATGACACCTAGAATCTATTTATTTATCGTATGGCTATACATGCAAGAAAACCAGACTCTTAAACATAGACATAAAGTAAACTATAATGTAAATGAAAAACATTACAATGTAAATATATAAAAAAAACAAGTATATGATAAAAATACAACATAAAAAACGTATTTACGAACACTATATATTGACATCTAGATGGCCTATCCATTCCAAAGCTGCTGGAAAAACCTCCAGAAAGTCCCCCCAGTCTTCACCATAAGGGGATCCGAAGTCACATTCTGGGGAATGCATTTTACCCCACTTATAAAGGGAATCCGCACATCTTCCATGGTCAGAGCGTATCCTATTCAAAGTTGGCCATTTTTTCCGGTTTAGATCGGTACCTGGTATCTGGCAATAGTTATCTTCGAACCAGGAGTATAGGTGCGCATCGGCCATTTCTCTCCATAACTGAAGCCACTGTTCTCGAGAATTGTAGTTGTCTGCTTTAACTGCTTTTTAGTTGTTCAGTTCCCGATTTCAATCTATTCACCTGTAAAGCAGGGAGTGTTTCATGAACAGGGAGCGTTGGGGTAGCGATTATTTTATTAAATTCTCTAAGAAGAGCCTCGTTTCTGCGTAGACTAGGTGTGGATCTGATTGTCTCTGTAATCAGCCGCATGGTATTGTTCAGCTGTCTCTCTACGAGATTTGTGTGGTGGCTGTTCAACCACACAGGTGCACAATACTCTGTCACACTGAATACCAGACCAAGGGCGGAGATCCGAAATGTTGTTGCTTTTGCACCCCAAGAAGTACCACAAAGTTTATGTATAATATATTGTTTCGTGTTTTGATTTTACCAGCAACATGTTCTAGGTGTTTTCGAAATGGCAGTGTACGGTCTAGAGTAATCCCCAGATATTGTGGATATTTGTTGTTACGCAGAGTATTCTTACCAAACTGGACGCTTATTTCGGCATTCGCCAGCTTGTTATTAAGATGGAAGGTAGTATGCGTATCTGTTAGGTCAGAGATGTATATATAGTTGAATAAGAGAGGGGCGAGAACGGAGCCTTGGGGTAAGCTGTTGTTAAGTTTTTTAGGTTTACTTGTGCTCTCTCTTAGAAATACTTGGATATATCGGTTACTTAGCATGTTGTTGATAACTCGAGCTATAGTTTGACAAGGAAGTGATTTAAGTAATTTATAAACCAAATCTAACCAAACCTAACCTAACCTAACCATACCATCTCTCCAGACTATGTCTTAAGCGGTTGTTAAATCGACAAAAGCTATGAAGGTTTTAAGCTTAAGTTGGAAATTTCCTTCAATGCGAGATGTGAGTGCTAGGGACTTGGTCACAGCAACTGCGTTTAGGAATGAAACCTGCCTGTTCAGCTGGAATATGGTCTAAGATACTATCCTTTATTCTATTGAAAATAAGTCGTTCTAGGAGCTCATAGGTACAACTGAGAAGGACTATGGGTTGGCTTTTATTTTAGTTTTCTTCAATTCCTTTGGAATGTTGCCTGTTGATAAAATTCTCGAGAAGAAACTACAAAGCCATTTGAGGGCAGTTTTTCCAGCGCAAATAAGGAATTCTGGATGAATGTAGACTGTATCTACAGAGATCACATCGTTCAACCGAACTGGCTTTCTCACCTAATAACACCCCGATTTTCGATATTCCAGGGATGAAGGTTGGTAGCAAACCCCACTTGACGTTAACCGTCAAGTTACGAGTACCTCTTGGATTGGTCAGTTTGACACGCCCTTTTAGTCGGACAAACCTATTATCAACTACATTCAACTTTTGTTTTCATGTCTTGTGTGGTACCAATAAAACGTGTTTTTTTCTGTATTTATAGTCCTTTATCAAGAGTTGTTGTTGGTTTTAATGTGTTTACTTCGTCCTTAGTTAGCTTGTAAAGTTAGACAGCTTGGGAATTTTCAAAATAATACAGTTTTAGTATAGACAGACAGAAAGATAGTTGCAGATGTTATATATAACTTCCTTTGCTAAAAGGGTCCTATCCAAAACAAACACCTACAAGATAGATTTTGATGGAAAAGAAAACAATCTGTTACAATTGATGCAAAATAACTTGAAATGTCTGTGAGATGAATTCATTTAAGTAGAAATTATATGTCAACATTAAACTCTAAACTCAATTGAAAAGATGGATCAAGCATGAAATAAAGGTTCTATCATACATCAATACTGAAGTTGCAAAAACGTCAAAATATGACATTTCTTCTATTTTATTAAATCGTTTCGTATTTAACCGGTATTTTTCAAGAACCTATCCTTTCCGTAGTTTACCAATCTGTTTAACCAGGTATTACAATGAAGTACAGCCTTAATAATTGAGAATATCTAACAAATCACAACCCAAATATCTCTTGATAAATAATCCTCCTAGTTATATACACTCAGATGCAAAAAAACGCAACGGAGAAATTTTTGATCAAATTTAAAGTGTTATATTTTTGTTATTTTTTGCCCTATTTTCATGAACTTTTTAGCAAACTGTATATAATTAAATCAACTTTCATTCGTAAACTCAGCTTATTATAAACTTTAGTATTTGGCATATTATACAGGATTAATCAAGGGGTTGTTTTTTACCTTAATTTTAAAACACCCTGTGCAATAATTTCGTCTGTAAATTTTCCTAAAATATAATTTTCCAGTCAGAACCATGACTCCTGAGCATTTTGTTTTTTGATTCATGTCAATACATGCTTTGGTTAATTTTTAAGCAAAATGAACTGATAACGATAAATTTGCAATTTGTTTAATTATCATTACTTTTTGATGTAATTTTTTAATATGGCGAGATGGTTTTGGTGACTACTGTCGTAACGTCATATTACACTGCATTGAATATTCTATACTAAATTAAAAAAAAACGTTAAAGATTCACGATACAGTCCAATAAACACTAATAACGATAACAGAACTAACGATATTAAAGAAAACATCTTAAGAAACATATTTAAGTATACAAACAGAAAAAAAATGTAAAAAATAACCTAATACTTTGTATTGCCGCCCTTGGTTGCTATAGCTGCCTGTATACGCCCGTTTATACTATCATTGAGGCCGCATATATCATATTGCGTTATGTTCTCCCATTCTTCTTTAAGGACCAAGCGAAGTTAATTTAATCCTTAGATTTAATCAATCTGGTACTGCTTCGCGACCTCTAACTCTCCTGCCAAGCATTTGCCAAACGTCGAACATGATGGGCAGTTTATAGTAGTATATAGTTCACAATGATCACCAAAGCTGCCTTGTCAAATTGAACAATAACTTCAAAAAAGAAATGATAACTGAAAAAACTGCAAATTGTTGGTGGCATGCTCATTTCGCTCTTAAAAATTAACCAAGGCATGCATTGACATGATCCAAAAAACAAATTCCTCAGAAGACATGGTTCTGACCGTAAAATTATATTTTAGTAAAATTTACACATGAAATTATTGCACAGGGTGTTTTAAAGTTAGGGTAAAAAAACAACCCCTCGAATAATAATGTTTATAAAAAACTGAGTTTACGAATAAAAGGTGATATAATTATATACAGCTTGCTAAAATATTCATGAAAATAGGGCTAAAAATAACAAAAATATAACACTTTAAATTTGACCAAAAATTTCTCCGTTGCGGTTTTTTTGCATCTGAGTATAGTTATACTGAATAGTGAATTGCTCAATCAAATTTCTAGGATTATCGCCATTTATAAAGGGTGAGTCATAAATAAGTGCAAATATTTTTAAGGATATTTCTACTTTTGTAAATAAAACTAGTTATAATTGAGTTTGTTTGGTAGCAATCCGCTTTAAGTATTAATCTTTAGATAAATGGTGAATCATATACAATTAGATTATAAGCGAAAATATGTGATATTTATACGTAACAACGCTTAGCTTTTAAAATAGATTTCTGTTGCTGTTTATTTTTGATCACACATCATTATTATACAGGTTTATTAACCTCATTCCATACTGAATTAGCCACACGATTAGAATTTTAGAAATTGTGAGTGATGGGGTCGCGCGGTCGTTGGAGGACTACTAAAGTTACAATTTAAAATTATTTTCAAACGGTACAGAGTGTCCAAATAAATAAAAAATATTAAAGTTGTATTTTTTTAAATGAAATACCATGTATATTATTACATTTCTAGTTTCTACGATTAAAATAAAGGTATAAATTGAATTAACAATATAACAATTTTAATGCTCCATTTCTGTAGGTGTATTTAAATTTTTAAAACCAAATATTGTATTGAAGTTTTTCTATTTACTAAATTTTGTGTTGCAATAATAAAAATAATACTACCTTACATACAGAGCGTCTAAAAAATTATTTTTAATAATTAATAGCTTTAAACGGCAATATCTTGTTTAAATTAAATAGAACATTCTGTATATTTAGGAGAATCAGATGCATTATTTAATTATCTATCAAATTGTGCTATACCATTTTTTCCTATCTCTTCAAGTTTTCGTAGAAGATGCATGTTCTTATAATTTAGACCTTAATTATCAATATATCTAAAGAATATTGACATTTTAGATTATTTTTAAAGATGTAACAAATTTTCAAAGAGTACAGATATTAATATTGTCGATATAGTTCATGCTTATTTATACCAACACAGACGTTCACATTATTATTATATTGATTTCTGATTCAAATCCACGTTTATTTAAAATAATATAATTAATTAATATTTGGGCGGAACTAATTGTGGTATATTTAATTGGTATCATTTTTTACAAAGATTCAAATAACGCCTCAAGAGCATTTTCTCTTTGTAAACAAATCGGCTAGTAAAATTATCAGTTTTAGCACCTATACATTTTGTACATTTGTTGCTTTAAAAAAATATCTAAAATGTCAATATTCCATGGGTATATTGATAAAATTACATTAACTTGAAGAGGTTGGTAAAAAATGGTATAATACAATTTGATAAACAATTAAATTGTGCATCTGATTCACATAAAATATACAGGGTGTTACAAAATCGTAAATATTCCAAAAAACAGTAAGATTATAGTGTGGTAAACCTTACACCAAACTAAAAATGTAATAATATACAGGGTGTTCCGTTTAAAAAATAAAACTTTGATATTTTTAGCCGACCATACCAATAGGTATGGTAGGCTATTAGGATCGACAAAAAAAAAATTTAATTTTACTCAAAATGAGTTATTTGGGTCATAAATGACCTAAATACAAAATATTTTCGTGGTGTCTGTCTGTCTGTCGGCCTGCCGTCTGTAACACGATAACTCAAAAACCGCTGAACCGATTTTAACCAAATTTGGCACAAAAATACTGTGGCACCCGAGAATCTGGCCATTAGTTTTTGGTGGGGTGGGGGGTTGGTAAGGGGGTATAGGAGGGGGTTAAAAATTTAAAAAAATCGTAACTCCAAAATTAAAGTAGCTAGCGAAACGCGGTTTTCAAATTAAGATTAGGAATAATGTTTGCAACAAAATTTGTAATAACATCAAAATCAAAGTCGCAGTTTTCGAGATATTAACATATTTTAGTATGGGCGGCTATACGTGCCTCCCGGCGCCAATTTTTTTTTATTTAGGACACTTTGTACCTTTTGAAAATAATTTTAAATTGTAGCTTTAGTAGTCCTCCAACCATCTCATCACTCAAAATTTCTAAAAATGTCAATGTGTCAAATGAGGGGAATAACCCTGTATTGTTTTTAATAATAATTCTTATATCAATGCCTCGTAGTAGTTCCTAATTCGTTGTTTCAGCCCTTGGACCTCGTCCATTGTGCAACATGCCGGACAGAGTAGTACTTCCGCCTACGGTAGTCAGAGTACCAACTGAAAAAGTAATGATAGTCAAAAATTTATCTGAAGTTTTGCTATCTTATGTGGCGCTAACTGACAAACCGTTCACTAATCCTCTAACAAGAGCCACAGTTCCGCCACACGGTATTTTTGAGAAAGTGATTTCGTGTCTACCTCTGAAAGCGGGCATGGCCTGTGGAAATATGAAATGCTATTTTAGAAATCAGTTGTGTCTAACAGTGAAGCTGGAATGTGAGGTAAAACTTAAGTATTTATAAAAAGGTAAAGTAAACTGACACGAAAATCTGACAGCTAAAATTTTCATATATTTTAAAGCTAAATATACTTTGTTCTAGTGGACCGATTTTGCCTCTTTTTAAATCAAAAATTAAAGCCCTCATCTGCCTATTATACGAGGGACATCAAAGTAATCATATAACGTAAATGGGTAAACGTTTGAAAAATCCTTTGGAATGGTTTAGGTTACTCATCAAGGTGCATCTTGCCTCGATAGTTTTTTTATTTAACTCTACAGCTTCATTTTTATTGGAGATATTCGCTTTTGAAGAAAATAGTAATAATTTAAAGCAATTTTAGCATTAAAAACATGCCTTTGCTTTTGATCCTCATCAACATACATAAGCCTTAACTTAGTGGTTATTTTTTTGTCATGTGACAGTCATTGAAAAGGGATATTATTGTTGTTTGTTGGCGGTAACACTAGCAGAGAGTGTTTTAAGTCCAGTTGTCTATCATGTTCAATTTCACCAACTATAATACAAATTCTGGACTTAAAATTATCTCTATAACCCAACTTCCAACAAATGATCATAATATCCTTTTTCAATAACAGCGACATTACAAAAACAATGAACATAATTTGATAGGTCAGGTATAGTCCTAGCAGCTGGAAAAATATTATTCTCGACTCCAACAAAATGACTTTCCGGATGAATGTTAAAAAATATCGAGAAAATATGCATCTCAATGATAAAGTAGTTTTTAAGAGAAGAAATGTTGAACACATATACGAGCCCTAACAACTATATGTTGGGACAAGGTCTTGTTTGCAATAAAAAAATAGTAATTTGTTAAAACGGCTCAATTTATTTTGTTCATTGTTTTAAATTCAAACATTACAATATGATCTAGACAATTTTACTATATTTTTATAACTTTGCAAACAAATCACTTTTGATAATAGCTTATTTTGCCAAAATCAAGCCAAATTTGCTGACAACTATATATTGGAACAGCACAACAAGAAATTTGTTTAATACGGAGTTACATCACTTTTCGCCTTAACAACTGCCTGAACTCTTAATGGTATTGTATTTATCAAAGATTGGCACATTTGAGGAGAAAAATTATCCCAAATTTCCTGCAGTTTTGCCCGCAAATCAAAAATTGTTCGTTGAGGGTGGTTTCTTAAATATTGCTTCATTTTATGCCACACAGTTTCTATCACATTGAGGTCCGGACTACTTGCAGGATGGGATAGAACTTTTATATTATTATTACCGAACCAATTTTTAGTTGATTTTGCTGAATGGCACAATGCTCCATCTTGTTGGAAAATATAGTCTTCGTTTGGAAAAAAATTCTTGAGCAATAGGCAAAAGTGAGGTCTCAAGTATTTGTTGATATCTTTGGGCGTTAACAGTGCCATCTATAAAATTTAATTTGCCCAAACCTCTTGCTGACATACAACTCCAAAACCATTATCCCTTAGGAAATTTAACAACCCTCTTTAAGCAATCTTTATGAAAGGCTTCTGCTTTATTTCGTATTATTCGTTTTCGATGATCTCCAACGCAAACATCAAATTTAGACTCATCGCTAAATATGACCTTATTCCAATAATTTTGTGTCCACGATAATTTAGATTTTGCCCAATTGTAGCGATTTTTCTTTTGAATTTCTGTCAGTAGCGGTTTTTCTTTGGCCTAAATAAGAATTTTTATCAATAATCTTTAGGTAATTAATTATCCACACAAAATAAAGTTTACCTTGTAAAACCCCAGACCGCATTTGTGGATATATTTTCGGCCACATTCTCTTGATATATTTAAACCAGTTACAGTATTCCATTTAACTGTTACTTCGCGAAGAGTACTTCTTCTCGCAGACTTGCAAATTTTTACTAAATTTCGTAAATCTCTTTGAGATACAACTTTTGGCCTTCCCGAACTTTTACCTCTAACGTCTACATTGGCAGATTCGCCATATTTTTTTATTATATTAAAGACCGTGGTTTTTGGAATACTTAAATCATCAGAAATTTTTCGAATTGTTTTTCCCGTACTGTATTGACGAATGATAATTTCGCGTAGTTTTTGATCTGTAGCTTTTCCACGGACCATTACTTTGAATTAAATAATTAACAAAATTGAAAATTAAAAAAATTAAAATTACTTACAGTAAATCTCACTACTCAAAGTATCGAGTCACTTACAAGCTGTCAATGCTGAAGTAAACAGTTTGCGACATTTGTGACGTTTATAGCAAAGCCGCCTATGATATTAATTATTTAAAAATACTTGTTCCAACATTTAGTTGTCAGGCAAATTTGTCCTTTTATGAACAAAATCCGCTACTGTAAATATGGTTTGATTTACAAATTCTTAAAAATAGTGTCAAGTTGTTTAGGATATATGGCTATGTTTATATTTAAAAAATTAAACATATATTTTTCAGTCATTTTGAAAAACCAGGGCAATAATTCCAAAATATGACCTTGTCCCAATATATAGTTGTTAGGGCTCGTACCTGAGCATACGATGCTTTGGGCCTTAAGCTGAACATCGATAAAACTAAAACCATATGCACTCCCTCGGAAGATCGCAACAATGCTATAAAAAGCGGAGAAGAACTATTGGAATATGTAGCGGAATTCAATTACCTCGGCAGTTTAATTCCGGAAAAGGCCAATATCGACTCTGAAATTCAGCACAGGATTAGCAGCGCCGCAAAAGCATTCTGAAAATTAAAAGACAGGGTTTTCTATAATCATGAATTGAGTACACAAACGAAACTTGCAGTGTTCCGAGCAATAATAATCGCTACCATGCTATATGGAAGCGAAATCGAACATTTACGGAGAGCTTTTAGATGGTAAGAGGAAACCGGGGGACAACCCAAAAAGTACAAGGATATTTTCCACGAAAACTTAAAGGGGATAAGCAATATAAGCATTCAGAATCAGTGGGAAGAAGCAGCTCACAACAGAACGCAATAGAGAAGGATAAAAAACTCAGTTAATAGCGACAACCAAAAAGTAAAGAGGCAACAAAGCAATGAGATTTTTGAATGTCCGAAGTGCGGAAGAGAGAGACACCACGTATCGGGCTTTTCAGTCACAGAAACGCTCATGAAAGTAACGCCTTGTGTAACCATCTTCTGATGCGTGTCAAATACTCATCAGCGAGTAATAGCAGTAGTAGTAGTTTTTAAATTCCTTACTCTGTTAAACCATTCCACAGAGTGTTTTAAGCTTTTCCCCAAATAACAATATTTTGCTTTTAATAGTATAATAGACAGACGAAAGCTTTAATTTTTAATTAAAAAAAAAGAATAAAAAATCAAATAATTGAGCTATAGTCTGTCCAACGACAAGATCCTTGACAGTGATAGATGTATCTGTCATTTTAATTTCATAGTAGTTAATTTTATTTTATAAAAAAATAAGTTGGTGCAATTGGAACGAGGAAATTAATATATTTAAAATTTGAGTGACAAGTGATTACTTCAAAATATTGTGAAAAAAAAACTGTATAAAACTGAAAAAAATCTAATCGAGGTATTTTATTTAAAAAAAAATAAGGTATGTGTTAATACAAGACAAATAAGCACAAAACACCACATACCAAAAAAATATAAAAAAGAACCATTTCTTACTTTCTAGCTTCAAGAAATTTCCTGCATTTATTATTATATTTATCAATATAATATATAACTTATGTATAAATAAAAATTTGTAATATTCCCCAGGAATAAATAAAACAACATAAATAAAACAAAATATTTTATTAATAATAACACTTAATTTTTTAATTCTTAATAAACCAATAATAACACGCCAAATTTTATACCTTAAAAGTTGATCAATTAACTTTAATCTTAATTTTTTTAAACCAGTACCTTTTGACATTATCTTTCTGCAGTACTAAAAGCCATTATTTACGTACCTATCGTGTGATGTTATTTTACAGCTACTCCAGTTTAAGCATATACATATGTTCATAGCATTATATGTATATGTTCGATGAGATGGTATACAAACGAGATGGTATATAAACTTTATTAATGGTAACTTTATTGGTGTATAAAACTCTCTGCCGGCACCGAATATTAACTATAAACTGTACTCTGGGTCTACAGTTAATTTTCCCCCAATTTTTCCTTCACTTAACTTCACAAGACACAAAACACATGTAATAACACGAATCAAAACACATCATCTTCCAAAACATAGTGTATTTGACATAATTTGACAAAAAAATATAACTCTAATTTGACAAGACTTTGACAAGCTTCAAAAATCTAAAGGCGAGTTCATACGCATCTGCGTCCAAGATTCGTTCATCGTTCCGTCACTCCAATAATATTCAAAATATGATCTGTCATTTTTAAAATAAACCAATAATATAATATATATAAAACTGGTTAAAAACGAGTCAAGAGACGACGCATGACGGATTTATATATAAATCCATCGATAGAGTTAAGTTAAAAAATATTAGATTTTTTTTAGTGAAATAAATAGATTGGTATGGGCGTCATCTGCTTTTTTCTGTCGTCATCTGTCAAAATCTCACCTGAAAAAAAAGTATATACATTACTACATACAGAGTATATACATTACTAAAAAATATTTAAAGTCGGCCCACCAGAACAAAGTATATCATAACTTTTAACAAATTTCAACTTTTGTCTTATTGGGTCGCTTTTCAATAGTTATTTTATAATATTTCTCGTTCATTTCATAATTGGTTTTATGTAATTAGTGTGTATAAATCTAGAAAAAGACTATGTCTGGACTTGAGTTACAGTCAGATTATTGCGATATTCTTGGACGACAATACTGTTTTTAGCAGTCTTTTCTTGTTTAAACCTGATTTTCTTGTTTATTAGCATTTCTTAATTGTTGTTGTAATGTTTTATTGACATGATTTCCTGCTTCTCCACTGAGGTAGATGCAGAAATCCCCTTCTTCCTCTACTGACATTATTTTCATATTTAGTTTAGCATATTTACA